TAATTAATTAATTAAAATAATTTTAATAAATCAATTAATTAAATAAAAATTCATTCTTATTTTTTTAATATCAATTAATATTAAAAAAATATTTTTAATCTATATTTAAAAAAAAAAAAACACATTTCAAATTTAGCCACTTTTTGAAAATTTCAATGCTGACCAAATTCCAATAGAGGATACTGTAGTGGCTTTTTATGTCGGTGCATAAAAGTCGTAAAGATTAGTTCAGGGGGTGACATCGCTGAGAATTTCCTTCACATTAATAGAATACGTGAATAGGAATAGCGACGGTACACGTGGGACAGGGACCCCCTTCCATTCCTGTTATTGTCGAGGGTAGTTGGTATGAAGATTTTTGTGAGGATTTATGGTAAAGGGTAAAAAAATACCCTGCGTCCTATCTCATATGGAGAATGATAAATTTTTGTGGTGTACAAATTTTTGTGTTAAATATTAAAATTGTAGAATTTTATTTTTTTTAATAAATAAATTTTATAATGCTATATAAAGAATAATTTATGGAATATTATATAGTTTAACAAATTCATTAAAAAAAGCATAAAAAGAGTAAAAATTTGAAACAAATTGGGTTTTATGTTTTTATAAATATATTATAATTTATAAAAATATAAATTAAGGTTGAGTTGAGTAAAAATTAATTGGAGTTTATATTTTTGTAAATATATTATAATTTATAAAAATATAAATTTATAAATTTTTTTTATTATATATAGATCCCTATAGATACCCATGGGTTAAAGGAAATTTCTTACAAAATTTTAAGAAAAAAATTCTTCATTTTTATGATAGGGATTTCTATGAAGCTTCATGAATTTCGCGGTAAATTGTCATTCCTTTAAGTGAATAAATGGTGTAGTGTTTTTAATTAGGCTAAAATCTCATTTTAGTCCCTTTACTTTAATAAAAAATTAATTTTTAGTTTCTCAATTTTAAAAAACTCTTTTTTAGTTTCTAAAGTTTATTATCTAACCCTTTTTTTGTCCCTTCATTATTTTATTTTTTTCACAAATATCATGTTAAATAACGGAAATTCCAAGGAAGAGGGACTAAAAAGAAATTTTTTTTAAGTAGTGAGACCAAAATAGAGCTTTTTTTAATTTATTTTTAGTCTCTCTACTTTAGAATTTTCATAACCTAACACATTATATGTGTAAGAAATAACAGAGAAATTTAAAAGGGCTAAATAATAAATTTTAAAGAGTAAAAAAGAGTTTTTTAAGTTAAAAAAACAAAAAAAAAAATTATTAGAGTAAATGAACCAAAATGAAATTTTAACCTTCTAATTATAAATGAAGGTCATATGTATTTATATATCATTATAAGAATGTAGGGTATAAAGCTGGCGTAATATCTTCTTTAGAGAAGAATTCCTCGTCATTACTTGCTTGTATTTATTATAATCAACGTTAGAGGAGGATTTGGCGGCCCTTTCCAATTTAGTAAGCTGATTAAAAAATAGGAAAAGAAAAAAACTCCTCCTCATGAAAAAAAAAAAGAAAAAAAACTCCAATATTATTAAAATGAATAAAAGAAATTTTCAATTTTCCCGACCAATCGTGGTTAAGCCATGGTAAATGGTTGTAAGCATCTTTATCAATCTAATTTTGGGGATAATGAAAGGAAGCGTGAAGCTTGGTTTTCATTTCTCCTCCAACACATGGCATCCCTAATCTCGTAATTTCTTGAGTTCATTCCAGAATTATCTTTGGGGTCAGTATCATTCAAAATTTCAAATACTTTATTATTGTAGGTAAAGTGGGGTTGGTGGGGGCATTTTGGTCAGTATATTTTTTTATGAGAATAATCAGTATAGTATATTTTATGTTTAAGGTATGAAAATTACTGTGCTAACTATAACTACTACAAATTGACTATTTCTTCATATATCTTTTCTTTCTTTTTAAAAAATATATATATGATTGATGGATAGATCATCATGCTGAGTGCCTCTGCAAACAAGTTATCGAGATTGAAGGAACAAGCAGATGAATATGCAGCTCTTATCATGGAGGAGCTGGACCCTGAGAGACTAGGCTATATTGAGGTGGGCCCTATATCAACACATTATTCTTTGGCCACAGATGGTATTTTCTTTATTTAATTTCCATAAATATTTTATTTTAATAAATTATTTAACAAGTAATTGGGTCAAGCACTTTTTTAAAGTTATTATTGGTCATTTTTGCATTATAATTTGAAAGCTTTGAAGTATTTAAAAACACAGTACTTGAGTTGGACTTTTTCAGTTTTTGTTCCGAAGGCCATTGTTAGGCGAAAGAATGAACAAAATCTTCAAACAATTAGGCTATTGGGGTTTGTTCAACCGTGCCTAGGAAGGTAGAAAGATGGAGAAGGAATAATTAGCTTTTCCGTGGAAAGGCTTAAATTGATTTGGTAAAACAAACTCAATTTCATTGATTGAAACTTGTGTGATAGCTCAATTTCCTTCACGTCCTTTCCTTTCTCTAGGATTGGTGCATTGTATTGTTTGTTGACTTTGTTGCTTCACTCGTTCTAAATTTCCTCTCTGGTCTTGTCAATAGATATAACCGTATGGAGATAAAATAATATTAAGCTTACCATTAAATAAAAAATTAAACTTGAAGAATCGGTAGCTTTTCAAGGATGGGATTGTGATTTACTATTGTTGTGTATTCAAAATGTTTATTTTCAAGAAGAAAAAAAATGCATTCTTTGAAGGTATGCATCAAGGTTTGAGATTCAAGAAATGCATATATACCTATATTATGTATATGTATTTATGAGTGGTGCTATAAAAATAATTTTTTTATGGTAGTTTTTATATAATTTTTATTTGTTATTAAATAAATAAATATATTTAATATTATAAATTTTAAATAAATAAAAAATTAATTATTAAAATGACACATAAAATTATATAAAAAGATAATATATATAAATGTTATTTTTAAATATTTTTTTATGTATTTATACATGTATGTATAAGAATAAGGGACAAATGATCAATAATCAGGGTGTGATTTCTGTGTTTTGCTTCAACAAAGAAAAATATATATTTATTTTGTACTTTTCCTTGCTAAAGATTCTTCTCCGTCAATAGCTAACATAAAGTTAAAGTATTGTAGTCCGAATTACGTGATTTAATGGTCATTCCTTTTGTAAGGACATATTTGAAAGTGAAAATTTTAAAATCTATTCTCAGTCATTATTCCCCCTATTCTCCATCGATTCCCCTAAGAGAAAAAAAAAAAAGGTTAAGGTATTGCAAGGGCATCCATTGTCCTAATTTGTCTTGTAATTACGAAAGGTACTGATGCCACCACATACATGTGATGCATAATCTGAAGATATATGGTCATTATTGCACCACTCACATTGCAATCAAGTGGCGGTCCTGACATTTAAGGGTTACGTTCCCCTGTCGGCTTTCTTGGTTTTTAATTATTCCCTTCAAATACATGTTCTCCTCTTGATTTTACACGTGCTGCATTAAAAGTGTCACTATATAATACTGTAATAAGTTGACAATGATGTGATTAATTGTGTCTGTGTTTTTTTTTTTTTTTTTTTTTTTTTTAGTATTGTAAGCTTTACTAATTCTATGGCGAGTTTTGAAAAGATTATAACTCTCCTACTACTGTTATGA